TATATATAATAATTTTTTAAATTTTTAGGCAATTAATTCTATTTTTGGTTTTTTTTTGAGATAGAGTCTGGCTTATGTTGCCCAGGTAGAGTGATGTGCCGTGGCGGTGGCAGGCCTAGTCACAGCAACCTCAACTTCTGGGGCTCAAGCGATCTTCCTGCCTCAAGCCTCACAGTAGCTGGGCTAAGGCATGCGCCACCTGCCCAGCTATTTTATATATATATTATAGTGTCAATTAATTTCCTTCTATTCATAGTAGAGACAGGGTCTCGCTCTTGCTCAGGTGGTTTCAAACTCCTGACTCGAGTGATCCTTTCAGCCTGGCCTCCTATGATGCTAGGAATGCTACTGTTTTTGGGTAGAGTGGGGTCTCGCTCTTGCTCTGGCTGGTTTCGAACTCCTGACCTTGAGCGATCCTCCCACCTCGGCCTCCCAGAGTGCTAGGATTACAGGCGTGAGCCACCTCGCCCGGCCTGATCGCTCATTTTCTTTGTGTTCTATTTTTTTATCCACCTACATTCCACTTAATATATATCAGCTAACAATGAGTCTTTTTCCTGCCAAGGACTCTTCTTGTAGTTTGCTTTGAGATCATTGCTGGTATTTTTTGGCACTTTCTGGCATCTTCCAAACTGGCTCTGTCTGTCTTCCCATTGCAAGTTTCTCGCTCTTGTGACTAGACTGATCAAACAACAAATTAGCTGAAAAGAGAAAAATTCTATTCAATAGTTCACCTACATGAAACCCAATAACCAAATCAATTATTTTCTTGACTAAGTTGCTGGAAATGGATTATGTTGGCATCAGACATATTGTTTCTGGGTTAAATAGTACCATATTTAGTTCACTGAAGTAATTTTAAGAAATATGAAATTATCACTGTGAATAATTATATTCGGTGAAATGTACATTTTAAAATAGAATCTCTCAATTTTATTACCTATGAGAGATGTCAAAGCTACAGACTGACCTATGCCTTGTCTGTCCTGTATTTTGGGCTTTCCTCTTTTATTTATTGAGATAAGTAAAAAAATATACACTAATTTTGTGTGCCAAGAGTCATAGCTTAACCTCTCTTAGATTGAATTAATCTTCCTATGTATCAAGGATAGTTCTTGAGAAAGAGTAAACATTTTAAAAAGTTAAAGTGTTGACATTTCTTTTTAATTTCTTTTTTTTTTTTTTTTTTACTTTGAAGAACCATTAAAATCTGTGCGGTGAGGGCAGGCTATTGAATCAGATAGGCCAGTGATCGATGTATCACCAGAAAAATTACCTGCCTGGGCCCAAATAAACTAGGGAAAAGGAGAGCAGGAACTCTTGAAAGAAAAACTTGCACTTGAACATGGATTCTTTCCTTCTTCCTACAGGCGGCAAGGAATTGTTTGGTCAGTTCTACATGTATAGTGAAAATTTCGGACTTTGGAATGACGAGGTACATGATATGTATGTATATATATATATATTTTGTTTATTCAAAAAGGGAATCTTACATCTGTCTACTGACAAACTGAAGGTTTGCCTTGCTCTTCTCCCCTGTGGAAAGTGCTGATGTGCTTGCATGACCTCCTGATGCACTTGGAATTTCAAGACATGTACCCATTTTACCTGCAGGTGAAATTTACTGTGGGCTTTGCTCATCTTTGTTCAGGTCACTATTACCTAAGGTCCCATTTACCTACCATGTTTCCCCCAAAATAAGACAGGGTCTGATATTTATGTTTCCTCAAGAAGACACCCTAGGGATTATTTTCAGGGGATGTGTTATTTTCTGTAAGTACGGTACAGCCATCTACATTGATTCAAATAGAGTGAAGTCGTCTTCTTCTGGAACATCATCCTCACTCTCCAAACCCCGAATCCCATCCTGAATGTCTTGCGACTCTGTTTCCTTTAGAGCCACCGGCCCCGATCTCTCCTGTGGAGCACTAGAGCTCTCACGGGGCGGATGAGAAGGGCTGCTCGTGTTCTTTCCCGCTCCGCGACGACACGCATGGGTTGTGCAGATGCGCTGCGCAGCCACGCCCACCACTAGGACCGATTTTCATAGCCACGCCCATCACTAGGGCTGATTTTCATAGCCACGCCCACCACTAGGACCGATTTTCATAGCCACGCCCATCACTAGGGCTGATTTTCATAGCCACGCCCACCACTAGGACCTATTTTCATAGCCACGCCCATCACTAGGGCTGATTTTAGGGGTAGGGCTTCTATTGCACACATGCTTAGACATCCTGCTAAGGGTCATTTTATGGGTAGGTCTTATTTTCGGGGAAATATGCTAGGGACATCCAGAACCACTTGTTCTCTGGAGTCTTTCTGCCATCCCTAGAACTCTACCTGGCCAAGAGGACACAGGTTCTGTTTTGCTTTTGAGTCCTTCCAACTTGCTGTGGGCGTGGGCAGCTCTTATAGGGTACAAGGTTCAGGACCCTAACTCAGCGACCCACTAATGTCTAGACTAGCACTTTTTCCCTTTCCTTCTATTTCCCCCTCCGCCTAGCTAAAGGGATCTTTTTCTAGATGGACGGATGGGGTGGTGGTGGTGGTGAGATCTCACTCTTGTTCACAATCCATTTTCCAAGATATTTTGTTAATTTTGTTCTTCTCTGCAGAACCTAGACTTTAGAAACTCGAAACCTATAGAAAATGCTTTCCCCCCCTTTGTTATCCATTATTCATTCTTTACCTAAGTAGAATGACCTCTAACTCAATAAAAGGCTTAAAGGTGGAGTGAAGTGTAGAATGTGAAAAAAAAAATTGGGAGTGTGAGGCTGTGTTAATAAATAACTCAAAAATATTGTTGTGGTCTCTTCTTTCCTTATTCCCACATTTGGAAATTCTTGCATACGATTCAAAAAAGAGAGAGGTTTCAATCTTTTTTTTCTTTTCTTTAAGGAGATTGTAGTTATTTCTGATTTCTTTCCATATAGGGCCATTCTAATGCATTAGAATTTTTATTTTTATTTTTTTTGATTGTGCTGTCATTAATGTATTGAGACGATCATCATCTGAGTGGCTTGGCCGCTCTTTGGTTGCTATGAGTGAGTGCAGAGTGTCTTGGTTTGTTCTGGAGTTGCGCTCACAGCACCAGATCATCCATGGAGCTCATTCATGGTCGAATCCTCTGGCTCAGGCTCCTGATAGCTGGACTTGTATAGTCGTGCAAGCCACCAGCTGCCCTGTGGCGCATATTGATGTCTGAGACCCTCCTCTTTAGTTCTGGCCAATTAATTTCTTTCTATTTTTAGTAGAGATGGGATCTCGATCTTGCTCAGGCTGGTTTCGAACTCCTGACCTCAAGCGATCCTCCTGCTTCGGCCTCCCAGAGTGCTAAGATTATACATATGAGCCACCGCACCCCGGCCCATTAGAAAATTTTCACATCAAAAGTATTATATTCAGGCTGGGTGCAGTGGCTCACGCCTGTAATCCCAGCACTTTTTGGAGGTCCAATTGGGCGGATCGCTTGAGTCCAGGAGTTCAAGGTTGCAGTGAGCTATGATAGTGCCATTGCATTCCAGCCTGGGCTACAAGAGTGAGACCCCATCTCTTAAAAAGAAAAGTATTATGTTTATATATTTTTATTTTCCACCCTTCTCTATGCCTCACCAAAAAATATATGCATGGAAGAAAATATGGCATCCAACTTTGAATTCATTTTTTTTTATTATTATTATAAGAAGAGTAGTGATTTGCTTATCTTGTATTTCCTTTTTATAACCGTGGTGGTTAGAGCATTCAGCATGCTTCTTTGAGTTAAGATGGGCTGAGGCAGGAGGATCGATTGAGCCCATGGAGTTGGAGTTGCTAGTGACCGAGCTGACACCACAGCAACTCCTCTAGCCGGCAAACAGAGTGAGAACTCTGTCTCAAAAAAAAAAAATAAAATAGTAAATAAAATTCCTAATGATTAGAATGCCTATATGGGAAAGAAATAGAATAACTACATAAATCCTCCTTAAGAGAAAAGAAAAAAAAGAATTGAACTCTCTCTTTTTTTTCAATGTTATGAGATGTAA